TTCATAGAGACACATCAGGTCAGTCCAGTGTTCATAGAGACACATCAGGTCAGTCCAGTGTTCATAGAGACACATCAGGTCAGTCCAGTGTTCCTACAGACGCATCAGGTCAGTCCAGTGTTCATTGAGACACATCAGGTCAGTCCAGGTGACGTTTCATTAGAGCTCGAGTCCTGCTGGTTTCCCTGTCACAGCTTCAGATTCTCATGAGGAGAAGTGATTGTTTATTTTGTTAAAGGTGTGTTATGGATAACTCTCAGCTACTACCACTCCAAATTTAACTCAACCTCTGTAAAAATAAACGAATTATAAYGCTGCGTTGATTAACTGGAGTCGATCCAATTCAAGATGGTCGCCACAAAGTTTATCAGTTGTAGACACACTCAAAAAACTTTAACAACAAATAGGTCAGCTGTTTCCACTCAACTAAATTAGTGAGTAAATTAGAGTAAATGTGACACGTTTAAAGTAAATACAAGAGGGCTATTCAGCTAAACTGCTCCAGGGGCCACAGTTACTGCCAGTCAACAGCTGAGGGGCCGAACATCCAGCAATTAAATTTATTATGTGAATAAACCAAGTATTAAAAAGATCTGTTACCTTACTAGTTTGTTTTGCTGCGTTTAATCATGAATACAACATACCCTGTGAAAGTAGTGATAAATAAACAATATCAAAAAAAAAACACATTCTGCCTCCTATTATTTGACACAAATAATATTTTAACATCTCTGACTTGACAAATTTTTAAACCAATTTTATTTTCACTTTCATAGTTTTATCTTTAACTGCTTGCAGTTTKAACTGTCTTGGATGTTCATAGAAATGTTTTTTCACCAGCTTGTAGCCAAGATTCTGATGTTTCTGTAGACACCAAACATGTCTATGTTTAACTAAAAGAACTTAAAGTAATTAAAGTTGAAAACTGGGGGTTTGGGCTGAAGAGATGAATGAACCAATTTGACGGGCTGAATTTTGGTCACTCGTGGGCCAGATGTGGCCTGCGGGCTGCCACTTGAATAGCCCTGAAATACAATACAATCCTTCTGTTTTTTGAGTGTTCATTTGATAAACTTGGGTTTGAGGCATTTTTAAAAAACAGTTGGTGTCATCTTAAATCAGATTGACTCCAAAAGTAAGTCTGTAAGTTTCAGATCATAACGGTCCAGTTGACAGACACAAGAATTAAAAACAGAACCTACAGAACTGATCCATGGTTGAAAGTTCTGTGAAAGCAGAACGTTACAGCAGCTAATTGTTGCTGTTTAAATGTAGGTAATCTGAGCTGAGCTGTTTGAAGAAACTAGGCTACGTCCTGATTCAATCTGGCTCCTAATAAGAGGTAATAAAAAGCTGAAATCCCTGAGCTGCACAGACACGACAGCTTTAATATCAGCTAAAGCTCTCTGCCTGTTTGGCCTCTTTTCACTTTATCAGTGTGCAATGCACACTATTGTGATTCGTTTCCCATCCAAGTCGTCTCAACTTTGCCATGCTTCTCCTCCTGCATACTTTGTCCTAGAGCTGCCATTGTAATTTATAT